AAGCAGCTTGCAAAAGGCCCAGAAGATGCAACCTAGAGGTGTGGGAGAGTTTACTTTGGCTAAAGAAAACCAGGAGCTAGAAAGAATTTGAACAGATAAATATTCTTTTTCTTTCTTCCTCTAACATGCTAATCTGAGACAGTTTCTCTGATCAGCCTATTTGGAGACATCCTAGATAGCTGCGTGAGTGACCTACCAAGTGACTGGCTGAGGTACTTCAAGCTTATGGTGAAGTAGCGGCTATTGTTGTTATGCTTATCTCACATAGCTTGCCATCTTTCCTTGCACCACTTTCCTTTTCCTTCATTCTTGTCCTGAGAATACACCTCCCTGAATAAAGTAATACCCTATAATCTTTGCCTCAGTTTTTGTTTTCTAGAAGTCTTGGAGAAAGACAGAAGAGAAGATAATCTTTGTAGAGTTAGAATATAAAAGGGAATGATCTGCATTGAGAACATTTATGTTGGAAATAGCCACAATCAAATTTTACAGGGCCATGTTGATAGACATGTAGATTCTTTGAAAGTTTTTGAGCAGAGTGCCATAATGGAAACTGGGATTTAGGAAGGTGATTAGGTTGAAGTAGAAACCTGGAGTGGTGGAGGTGGGGAGAACTGGAGGCAGGAAGACTAGTTTTGGTTCAAATGTGAGGATGAGTGTAGAACCAAGCTGTAGAAATTAAATAGTAGACAAGGACTTTTATGATGGCTTTAGCCATTTTGATAAAATAGGAAGCAATGTAATTCACTAGAAGTGAGTAAGAGGAAGGTACAATTGGAGGGTTGAGGAGGGAGAGAATGTGAGTGTACCCTCTTGAGTCATGCTCCTGAGTATCCATCATTCAAATTCAGTCATGTTGCTTCTTGTTGATCTGGCTGGTGGCTATAGGTCTTTCTGTTCTCCAACAATATGCTCCAAGGACACACACAGAATTTCTCATTTCATAATGAATTTGTGTACTATAAAAATTGCCAAAAGACTAATCAGATATTTATACAATCTAGTCAATTTGGATTTTGTTAATTAAGTTTTGTTAGTTCTGTAAATTAATTTAACAGATTAAAATTAATTTGTTAAAAGTTGTTCATTAAAACTACTACAGAAAATGCCACTTACAATACTTTTTAATGAACAAACATATGAGCTCTGTGGTTGTACAGCAATTGGCTTTTTTTTTCTTGATTAAATCTTTATTGTTCAGATTATTACAGTTGTTTTTTTTCCCCATAGCTCCCCTCTACCCAGTTCCCACCCCACGCTCTGCCCTTAACCCCCCTCCAACTGTCCTTATCCATAGGTGTACGATTTTTGTCCAGTCTCTTCCCGCAGCTCCCACACCTCTTTCCCCTTGAGAATTGTAAGTCCACTCCTTTTTATGCCCCTGATTCTATTATATTCACCAGTTTATTCTGTTCATCAGATTTTATATTCACTTGATTTTTAGATTCACTTGTTGATAGATATGTACTTGTTGTTCATAATTTTTATCTTTACCTTTTTCTTCTTCTTCCTCTTCTTAAAGAATACCTTTCAGCATTTCATATAATACTGGTTTGGTGGTGATGAACTCCTTTAGCTTTTTCTTATCTGTGAAGCTCTTTATCTGACCTTCAATTCTGAATGATAGCTTTGCTGGGTCAAGTAATCTTGGTTGTAGGTTCTTGCTATTCATCACTTTGAATATTTCTTGCCACTCCCTTCTGGCCTGCATAGTTTCTGTTGAGAAATCAGCTGACAGTCATATGGGTACTCCCTTGTAGATAACTAACTGTTTCTCTCTTGCTGCTTTTAAGATTCTCTCTTTGTCTTTTGCTCTTGGCATTTTAATTATGATGTGTCTTGATGTGGTCCTCTTTGGATTCCTTTTGTTTGGGGTTCTCTGCACTTCCTGGACTTGTAAGTCTATTTCTTTCACCAGGTAGGGGAAGTTTTCTGTCATTATTTCTTCAAATAGGTTTTCAATATCTTGCTCTCTCTCTTCTTCTGGCACCCCCATAATTCGGATGTTGGTTCGCTTGAAGTTGTCCCAGAGGCTCCTTACGCTATCTTCATATTTTTGGATTCTTTTTTCTTTTTGCTTTTCCGGTTGGTTGTTTTTTACTTCTTCGTATTTCAAATCTTTGACTTGATTCTTGCGATCCTCCAGTCTGCTGTTGGATCTCTGTATAATATTCTTTATTTCAGTCAGTGTATGCTTAATTTCTATTTGGTCCTTTTTTATATCCTCGAGGGTCTCACTAGATTTATTGAGGGTCTCACTAAATTTATAGGCGGTTTCTAGAAAATTCTTGAAAAATCTTATAACTGTGGTTTTGAACTCTATATGCAGTAGTTTGCTTTCCTCCATTTCTGTCATTTGTGACCTGTTTCTTTGTCTCCACATTTTGGCTGCTTCCCTGTGTTGATAGGGTGTCTTTCTTTGCTAGGTGTCCTATAGGGCCCAGTAGCTCAGCCTCCCCAATTACCTGAGGTGGACACTCTTGGTGCACCCCTTTGTGGGCTGTGTGCGCAGTCTTGTTGTAGTTAAGCCTTGATTGTTGTAGGTATCACTGGGAGGAATTGACCTCCAGGCCAATTGGCTGTAAGAATCAGCTGTGTCTATGGTGGGAGAACTTCTGTGCTGGAGACACCCTTCTGGGGAAAGACTTGCTTCAGTGGGGCTTTGGTGCTCACTGAGTCTACCCCCTGAGTGTGTCCCTTATGGATCTGAGAAGTTGTAATCTGGATGGTCCCACTCTGACCACTGGGTACACTGGCTCTTGGATCTCTAAGGAGGTGCTAATTTAGCCTCTGCCTGCGGCTACCCAGCAGGAGCTACTGAGAGATCTGCAGATTCCTCTTCTTTGTTTGGGATTTGGAGGTGCCCAGATGAGGCCCACCTGTGAAGCAATGCAAGCTTCTGTGGGGCCTTGGGCCTGCTTTTGGATGTTCTGGGTCTCTCTGATCCAGCTGCAGTTTGTTAGGTAATTTTAGATTGCAAAGGGCCAGGGCATTCATATGCAAAAGCCTCTGGGCACAGCTTGGGTGGGGCGGGGTCTTAGGGAATCAACAGGGCAGACCAAACAGCTATGGCTGATCCTCAGTCCTGCCCTAAGAGGCTCTGGGTCTCAGGGTCCCACGGTAATCGCTGCAAGCAGCTCTGAGAGAAAGCCGCCCTCCAGTTCTGCCCGCTGCCAGACAGTCCAGTTTCTCCTGGTATGAGTCTGGGTCCCCAAAGACTTGCCCAGAACTGGAGTTCAGATCGGAAGCCTGTGTCTCCCTCCTAATTGAAAAAGACAACCGCGTCCTCAGTTGCCAGCCCTTTCTGTGTGCGCCTCCTTACCTCTGCACTTTACTTCCGCACCTCCTCTGAGTCTCAGTGTGCTTTTCTCTTTCCTTCTAGTTGTAGAATTTCCACTCAGCCAGCCTTCCTGTGGTTCTGGATGATGTTCGTTTTGTCTTTTAGTTGTATTTTTGAAGTGGTAGTGCGAGGCAGCAATTTTTGGTGTTTACCTATGCCACCATCTTGGTTTCTGCCGCCAGCAATTGGCTTTTCTTGTATAGCCAGAGTAACCACAGAATACTTATACAGTAATAACTTTTGTCTAAACTTGGTTGTTCATGAGAAGGCAGAAGTGGGCTTAGCAAGCCACATGTTAATCTGGATCCAAAATGCAGAAGTGTATGCTCAGTTTATTTATGTTTTTAAACACTCAGCTACATTTAAAACTATTTTTGAGTAATTTAAATTTTGGCTTGTTTTGAACACTTGGGTTTGTGTTGAAGTTAAATAGTAGACAAGGAATATTAGGATGGCTTTAGCCATCTTGGTAAAATAGGAAGCAAAGTTTGTGTTGAAGTTCCCTGTGTCCAAGATTGTTTTGCTAATGTTCCAAAAACATTATGTGAGTGCAGTTTATGTGCTAAGGCAGGTAGGCAGAGGTAAACTATAAACCAGAGGATATAGTACATCTACCCAGGCTCTGAGTTGAGAAAATTTAAGGAACCCTTAAGTTAAAACAAATAAACACACCATAAATGTGAAAACAGTCCCCTAAGCCGTGGTCGGCAAACTGTGGCTCTCGAGCCACATGCGGCTCTTTGGCCCCTTGAGTGTGGCTCTTCCTAAGCCTTAGGGGTACCCTACTTAAGTTAATAACAATGTACCTACCTATATAGTTTAAGTTTAAAAAATGTGGCTCTCAAAAGAAATTTCAATCATTGTACTGTTGATATTTGCTCTGTTGACTAATGAGTTTGCCGACCACTGCTAAGGAAACAGTGGATTTGTTGTGCTTGATGTTGTGGTTTCCAGGGACTGAGAGTGTTGTTTGGCTAGTGACTCAGGCAGGAATCTGCTTTTAACTCAGCTAGTTAGTCTTTCTGTGGTGACATAGGTGCCAAGGTGGGTCCTTTTGCAAGGGTGGTGTCCTAATAGCAATGCCCCATTTGTCTTTAGCATTGAAGTGGCCATCCTGATGCTTATGGTAGGATGTCATTTTCTTTGTGCCATCACATTTGCTCTTGCGTGTCTTTGCTGGTTGGGGGCTGTGTTTATTGGTAAAGAGTCAGCTGCTTGTCATCGGTAACTAGCTGGTTTCAGTTTCATCACAGGAAGATGAGAGCCAGGAACAGCATTTAGAAATCAATCAAAGGCTTATGGGAGTCTGACCAGTGTCATTGATGGAAGGGTGAACTGGGTTGGGGGAGTTTTGGAAATAGGGGCAATTTCAAATGTTGGGAGAGCATCATATTTTGAAACAATGAACGATGAGACAGAAACCATCTCAGCAAGGAGGTGTGAAGTACAAGGAACATATGGAGGAAAACTGAATGAGACAGACTTTAAAAAAATTCTTGTACATAAGAGAAAGTGTATGCTATGTGTTGGCTCCTTTAACTTACCGAGGTGCCTATGCCAGCAGCTGTAAGCCTTGCTTAAAAAACTCCCACAAGGTTATGAAGCCTCTGAGACTCACCTTCCTTCAGGTCACTTCCAATCTTCCCACACATAGACTTACCTCAGTACCTCAGTACCGCAGTCCCTGGACCTGCTTGGTGGCCTCAACTTGCCTAGGCCCAGTGGGATTTGGCTTTGGTCTACAGTGGTTCTGACCTGGCAATCCCATGTGATGCTGCTTGTGATAACTGTCTCTCTGCATCATGGATCTCATTCATAAGCTGGAAGTTTTCTGTATCTGATCTGCCCATGGCACAACACACAGATGTCCAGTATTTATTGCTCCATCAGACTTGTTGAGAAAGATTTCTTCCTCTGAAACCACAACAACAACTCTTTAAGGACAAAATAAAACAACATTTAACCAACCCATCAAATAAATCACCCACTCAAATCCCCAAAGATCCTTACTTACAGAGAGTGGCTGAAGGCCTCCCAAGAAAGGTTGCCTGCATTACCAAGGCAGATACCAAGGGTAGGCGTTTCCCAGTCTAGAGCCACTGATTCCGACTTCAGCTGCAGGTAAAAAGTGCAGCCGAGCCAGCAGGCTGCTTCAAAATGCTCAGCTGGCCTCTGAGCCCTGCTAGTGCCTACTTGTTAAGTGACCTGATTATGTCTCTAAGTTTACAGAACTGACAGGAGGAAAGTGTCTGAAAGTTGCCCTGCTAAGTAGTAGTATTTGCCTTGGGTTCAGGATTTACCATGGTGTGTGTGTGTGTGTGTTTTAATATAGAAGAATGAGGCAAGAATGAGGTTTTCACTGACAGATAATCAGTGGTCTTCTTGCCAAATCCAGTGGTGTTTGTTTAATTGTCTCTAAACTCCTCCATAGGAATCGGTGCCACCATCTTATACATCACTCCTACCTTTCATCTCTTGCCTAGTGGTGGTGGCATTTCTTAAACCTGGCTTTAAAGACTATTATTTGCTTTCTATACTTTCTTTCTTCACTGGATAATAGGTTTATTTTATGATTCCAATTCTCATCTCTCTGTAGGTAACACTTGCCTCCACTTATCCAGCTCCAGATTGTCACCTGAGTTTTGATACTTATTTGTAGCTGCCAACTTAGATGCCTTCATCATGATGAAGTCATTTAGAAATCATGATGTCCCAGGTCTAACTTATCTTCCTTCAAAATTTCTCCAATTTACTCCCAGTTTTATATTTCTAATACTGGAGTAGTGTCTTCATCTGTTAGTCCTATTCACTACCTTGTCCTATTGCATTTTATTTTAAATGGTTCTTTATTTTGTTTCCTTTTCTTTTCATTTTCACTGCCACCCTCTAAGTCTTATGTTCTTAAATCATTAGCCTCTTGTCTTTACACTGTTGGATATATCCTCTCTAAACGCCATTATTACTATGAAACTCTGTTTTCCATATCCTACAAGGCAAAGCAAAATCTCTTAGCTTGGTCCGCTCTTGACCCCATCTCCTGCCACATCCACTTTGCTTCTATTTAGTTAGCAGACAGCCTCAGGGAATCCAGTTGCCTACTGCCTCTTGAGTCACCTTGAGATTACCACAGTAGCAACAACAAGAATCTTGGTAATTTTGATTTTCACTCTTGGGTACCTCTTCTGGATCTAGGAACTTCCTTCTCGGCAGCACTAAACCTGTACTCACTCCATATTTCATTTAAATCCCAGGTGGGGTGCCAGTCAGTATATGAGAAGGGGAAGGATTTGGTGATAGAGAGGGCATTTTTCCTAAGTAAAGTTTAAGAGGAAGGTTTAGAAGTACATGTCCTCATTGTAAAAAATGAACTAATCTTGAGATTTAGGTAAGATTTGTACATCTTTGGATGCATTTTATTCTAGTAGAACTTTTCTGACGAGGATCTTGTGTGTAATAAAATAATAGAAGACCAAATATATTTGCAAATATAAATTCATGCATAAAATATTGCTGGGAGTTGTATGTTTTCCACTGAAGAGTGGGATTAAAAATTATTGGCTGACCGCAGAGATCTGGGAGTAGCATGTGAAAGAGAATTCTAGGGAGCCACTTGCAAACGAGAGGAATGTGGTATCACTTTTTACTTCTTTCCCATGGCCATCACATAATGTGTGACGAGTAAGAGTTGACTTCCACACAGAGATGGAGCATTTCCCAAAGCTCATTAGGGAGATTAATCTTGCTTTAATGTAAGATATGCTAGTGTTCTTTCTTCCTTTATTCTGTTATTAGAAAAGGGCTTGCCCTAGCCGGTTTGGCTCAGTGGGTAGAGCGTCGGCCAGTGAACTGAAGGGTCCCAAGTTCGATTCTGGTCAGGGGCACATGCCTGGGTTGTGGGCTCGGTCCCCAGTGGGACACTTGTAGGAGGTAGCTGATCCATGATTCTCTCTCATCATGGCTGTTTCTATCTCTCTCTCTTGCTTCCTCTCTGAAATCAATAAAAAAGATATATATATTTAAAAAAAAGAAAAAAAGAGAAAAGGGCTTATGATTTCTGTCTTCAGAAACCTATGATTGCTTTCCATGAACAACAACTCACTAGGTCAGATTTGGCCTGGTGTTCTGAAAGGCTCTAGCTGTGGCAGTGGTAGAAAAATCCACCACCCAAGGGCATGTAAGGCCACACCAGATTTGACATGTAGAAGTCAGGAACAATCAAGGGCATGTAGATACTGGGACCAAGTGCTGATTTGGAAACATAATTTATATGTGAGTGTTCCTAGCCTGGCACGCGGGCAAACTTCATTCTTTTATCTTTGAAATATACTAAGTGCCAGGCTCTGTAGCTGGTTTCCTTCCAGATGAAGAAAAACTGGGAGAACTTGGTCTGGTGACTTACTCATGGCCAAAGAGGTCAACAGGGTACTTCAGTGACAGTGGGGAATAACAAGAAGCAAGGGTCTCATACATTGGGCATCTTGCTTCCCAGCATGGGATCAGCAGCAACCATTGATTGAAACTTAGTCCCTTTCCAATCAAATACTGGCAATTTTACCTTGCTCTCAGGGACAATTACTTTTCCCTACTATATTCTTTTTTTTTATTGCTTAAAGTATTACAAAGAGTATTACATATGTCTCCTTTTTTTCCCCCCGCCCTTGACAATCCCCTGGCCTCCCCTACCCCCCAGTGTCTTATGTCCATTGGTTATGCTTATATGCATGCATACAAGTCCTTCGGTTGATCCCTACTATATTCCTTAGAGTGTTCAAACAGATGTAAAACTGCAGTTAGCAATCTGTGAATCATGTATCTCTTGACCCAACTGATCTTTGCTAGTGTTCAAAGGCTGTAGAAGTATTTTCATTTTTACTTCTCTGATGAGCTAGAAGCGATGGTGACTCTACAGCTAAACTGAAACAAACCGCCTTCATCCCAATTGTCATTTTATAGAAAATGCTTATTTATCTTTCCCATATTATTATAGTATGTATCTGAATTATAGGCAAGATGGGGCCTATAGAATGCATACTTATTGACTGAGGAAGAAGTAAGCAGGTGGTTTTCTGTCATATTTTTATCCTTATGGTGAAGCTTGTGGAAGCTATTTTATCAAAATTGTTGCTTTGGAACTTATCCCAAGTGTCTGATATGAATCTGGGGTTGACACAGACACAGTATGAAGCAAAGAGGAGAGTCATCTCATGTTATATTGTCACTCCCCCCAATCTCTCCTTCTTATTCCCATCAACAAAGGGATTTTTGAATCCAATAATAGGGAATCTTGGATTCTTGGTCTAACTGTACCTAATATATTTTCCATAGAGCAGGTTCACACCCCTGGACAGCTGTGCCAAATGAATTTCTTTGTGTTGTCAAGGATGGGAATGACTGACAAATCTCAGAGGGAAGGCAGGAGTGAGGAGAGGGGAAGATTAACCAGGGAATTTATATACTTACTGGAGGCCTGGTGCACAAAATTCGTGCACTGGGGTGCATGTCCCTCAGCCCAGCCTGCACCCTCTCCAATCTGGGACCCCTCAGGGGATGTCCAACTGCCGGTTTAGGCCCGACTGTGGGATCGGGCCTAAACCAGCAGACGAACATCCCTCTCATGATCTGGGACTGCTGGCTCCTAACCGCTCGCCTGCCTGCCTACCTGATTGCCCCTAACTGCTTCTGCCTGCCAGCCTGATCATCCTCTAACCACTCCCCTGCCAGCCTGATCGACACCTAACTGCTCCCCTGCCAGCCCGATTGCCCCCAACTGCCCTTCCCTGGCAGCCAGTCACCCCCAACTGCCCTCCTCTGCTGGCCTGGTCACCCCTAACTGCCCTCCTCTGCCAGCCTGGTCACCCCTAACTGCCCTCCCCTGCAGGCCTGGTTGCCCCTAACTGCCCTCCCCTGCTGGCCATCTTGTGGTGGCCATCTTGTTATGACATGGGGGCAGCCATCTTGTGACCATGTGGGGGCAGCTATCTTGGGGCAACATGCGGGTGGCCATCTTGTGACCACCTGGGGGTGGCCATCTTGTGACCACCTGGGGGTGACCATCTTGTATAAGGGGTGGTGGTCAATTTGCATATTACCTCTTTATTATATAGGATATGCATAGCCCATGGACATAGACAATAGTGGGGTGAAAACCTGGGAGGAGTGGGTGTGTGGTGGAGAGGGTCAATGGAAAAAAAAGGGGGACATCTGTAATATTTTCAGCAATAAAGATAAATTAAAAAGAGCAAAAAATGGGAATGATCCAGAAAAGACCATAGCTTGAACTGGAGAGCTTACTAGAACTGGGCCAATCCCTGAGGTAAGACAGAATATCAAGCCTGTAAATCCCAGCTTTGGCTCTGCTGCTTTGCTAAGGTTAAGAAAATATATCAAGATGAAAAAAGGACTGTTACCTCAGAAAGAATTGAAATGTACTTAGCTTGCCTCTTGCTATTGCATTCCTCATTGGGCCATTTCCTCAAGGTGAGATGAGAGAGATGCTGGTTGGTGAAGAGTTTGTAGAGGTGAAAGGAGTAGGGCTGACCTGGGAGCTGTCTTCAAGAAGAATGAATACAACCTATTAGCTTCCCCTGTTTATGGTTTTTCTGTAGACACCTCAACTATGAACAATAGTTTCAGTGAGGAAGACAGAATGAGTTCTGACAGGAAGGTTGGGAGCTGTGACAGGCAGAAGAAAAATGAAGCCAAACAGCATGGTGATGTGTCATCACTACTGGGTTTACCTTGATCCACATTTAGTTATCTATTTCTTTTCAAAATGCTAGGTCCTTATTCATTTATGAAACAGCATGTATGTTCTGAGGTGCAGTATATGGAAATAAGTCTTATTACTCTCTCTCCACATCATGAATTCATTAATGCATCCATTCCATTCAAGAGTCATTTATTGAGAGCTTACTAAGTGCTAGGCATAGTGGTGGCTACTATAGGTTATAAACCAATTGTTTCCTAGGAATTTTATAGTAGTGAACAATTTGCTTTTATTTAAAAATTTGTTTTGGTTTTTCACTAATGTTAAAGTCTTCAAACCAGGAATCCACGAATAAATAAAAAGAGGTGGAGATATTTGTGATAAATTTTATCGCTTTTTAGTTCTGCATTTCAAAAGACCTATAAAGGCATTGCCTTATTTACTAAAATATTTTCTGCTTACTGCAAGCCAATTATAAATAAGATAGGATACTCACTGACTCTGTAGATGCCCTAATTGTTGCTCAGAAGTAAATGAAATAGATTTCTGAGGCCTTATCCTTGTATATAACCAGTGGCATTGACAGCAATTGGAACCTTATATTTCTCAGGTCATATTTTTATCCTTATGATGAAGTTCTGGAAGCTGTTATCAAAATTGTTGCCTATTATTTTTTACTGGGTAATGTTATAGTAATAGCTGTATAAACTCTGAGGAATGAATGTAGGAGCTGTGATAGAATAGGAAGCTCTGGATCAAAGAAGAAAACTTGAGACAAGACAGAAATAAAATCACTGACAAATACATAGAAGTACACATTACTGGGTGGGATGGTGAAGAAGGAGAAACAAAATTGTGATAATCAGTGACAGGAATCATGAATAAGTAACCCTTGTGCTGATTATAATGAAAGCAGTGTAGGTCATGAGGACCTCCAGTGGAGAGGAAGAACGGCAAGCAAGGGTTTGTAGATGACCTGTGCCCTTCCAGTACCTGGGGAGAAAGAAGATAAAAACCTGATCAATGAAAGCCAAGGTCATTGTTAGTAGAGGGGAAAGTGGTATAGCTGTGGAGCTCATAAGGTTAATTTTGGTCACTTCCGAGGCTTAGTTATGATGTACAAGAGGATGTCCTACGAAAAGAGTGGTTAACACAAATGTGGGAGGGGATTGAAGATATAATTTGTAGTGATGTCCCAGGAAAGCTGGGAGGTTAAAAACAGGAGCACCCAGATCTTGTGTGTCTGCCAGGGAAAGGAAGAATGAATCTCTAGTTGTAGATAAGGAGAGAAAGTTTATGCACTAAGGTTAGACAGGAAGTTTTAGCATCATTGCACAGATTATCACTTAATATCTGATTTTTGTGATTATTTAGAATTTCAATAAATACTTTCATAAAATTTTCTTAATAAAACTTTCTGGTATGAGGATTTGTCCCATATTTCAAATGTTTCCCAGTTCCCAGAAATGGAAATTTCCGTTAGCAGCATTTCATAATTTTGATTACCTGAAGAAAGCAGTATAACAAGTAAGGGGAGTTAGGTTTTATTTCTGAATCACATATCTCTGGTCCCCAGGAAATGTTAGTTTAACTGTTTATGGTTACTGAAGGATTTTGTAGAAAGTTGAGGTGCAACATAGTCTGTATATGAATAACATATTTTGGAAAAAATTGAATGTAAGATCTCTTATTGTTCCTATATTCAAACCTCAAAGAATCAGAAGACTAACCTCTTAATTTATGATAAACAGTTAAATCTCAAGAGAAGCATGTAGTTATTTGAAAAACACTCAGTTATTCTTTCTTCAGAGGTTAATGCTAATAAATGTTTTGGGCTCTCTCTCAACTGTTGGCATCATGGTGTTGGAATGGTAATGGTAACTTGGCCAACTAGTGCTTGTCTGAACACAGTCCCATACAAGGAGGAGTTGTGAAATACAGAAGCCAAAAAAGACACAGGAAGGCCAGGTTGTGAGGGAAGAGGAATTCACTCCCAGAAATGTTTGGATTGAAAGAAATGGTATCTAATAACTATGGAAGACAGAAACGAAAGGCCATGAACCCCTTTTGAATGATGGGGAAAAAGAAAAACGAAGTGCAGAAGTGAGAAAAATCATCACCACTAAATTGAGAAGAAAACTGTTGTAATAAAAACTAGATTGATGAATGACCTTTAGCTGTGGAATGATACCATCCTGATGAAACAAGAACTGAAAGGATTTCTTCTAAAGGCTAATTTACATTTTTTTTTCTCAGCCTTCACCACATTTTTTTGAAGCACGGTTCTGCATGGTTAGTGTCTTTGTCTCTCTAAAAAAGAGAAAAAGCTTGACACACCTGGATGTGAGCAGTTAGTCAGGTGACCCCTGTGAAAGAAATGAGTAAAGTCAGAAAAAGCCTGGTAAGGGAGAGGGGGCTTTTGGGGGCTTGCCCTAGGTAGTATCTTATGATTGAGTTTACAGAGGAATTTCCCACCCAAACTCAGAATGGCTGGCACTGAACTTGCTTCAGGGGAACAGGGTTCTTCTTAGAGGGGATGAGGACATTTGCCTGCTTCAGCACAATGGTACTTGCCTGGAAGATATTTGTGGTGGGCAAGATAAGAGCTCCCCAAAGAGGTCCATGTCCTAATCTGGGAACGGTGGTTGTTTTACTTTAGATATGAAGAGGAGCCTTGCAGCTGTGTTAAAGTAAGGATCTTGACATGAGATTTTTCCCAGATAGGTAGATGAGTCCAATCTAATTACATATGTATTTCAGAGTCACTTGTGTAGCTGGGTTAGAGAGAGATGTGATGATAGAACAGGGTCAGATAGATGCAACAGAGGATAACTCATTTCCTGTTGCTGGCTTTAAAGATGGAGAAAGGGAATGTGGGCAGCCTCTAGAACAGCGGTTCTCAACCTGTGGGTCGCCAACCTGTGGGTCGCGACCCCTTTGGGGGTCGAACGACCCTTTCACAGGGGGGTCGCCTAAGACCATCGGAAAACACAGATATAATTACATGTTGTTTTTGTGATTAATCACTATGCTTTAATTATGTTCAATTTGTAACAATGAAAATATATCCTGCATATCAGATATTTACATTACGATTCATAACAGTAGAAAAATTACAGTTATGAAGTAGCAACGAAAATAATTTATGGTTGGGGGTCACCACAACATGAGGAATTGTATTAAAGGGTCATGGCATTAGGAAGGTTGAGAACCACTGCTCTAGAAGCTGAAAAAGGCAAGGAGAAAAGTTCTCTCCTAAACCTGCAGAAAGGAATGCAGCACTGTTGATACCTGGATTTTAACTCATGAGAGGTAGTTTGAACTTCTGACCACCAGAACTGCAAGATAATAAATTTGTATTGGTTTAAGCCACTAAGTTTAGGATATGTGCTATAGGAGCAAAAGAAAACTAGCAAAATATTGTACTATGCTAACACTTTCTCTTTACTAGTATTGTCTATTGCTAGTTTGTATTATGAATTCTGTAAAGTAATAAAGCTGTGCTGTTAGGCTAACTCCCCAAAGAAAATCTTGAACATGGAAGATGATTTTAAAGGCTGTATTAAGTAAATAGACCTATCAGTAGATATACTAACAAATTAATACATTCACTCTGTTCACTCACAAATACTTTTTGAGTTCCTGTTATCAACCAAACCTATGAGTTTCTGGGATTGAAAATTCCATCCTGCCTTCAGGAGGAGTGTATAGACTTGTGGGGAAGACTGTTAAATAGGGCATTCCAATGCATGGAGGGGATAGGCTTGCTTCTCTTTGTTGGCCTTGCTATAGGTGTTTAGAATTCACCTTCTCTACTAAATTAAGCCAGTCTCCACTCCTTCATCCAGTTTCCATTTTCCATGAATTTATTTAAATCTATGATCTATTGCCACTTCTCTTGTTCTTTATATTTGTTTCTGAGGGGGTATATGGCTTATCTTCCGTATATTATTGGCCTTGGTTTTCTCTTAGAAACCTGGTACAGCATGACCCTGCATTATCCCTCTGAAAAAAGAAACCATTAAACAATCCTTCCTTGTACTAAGTCCTGAAGTAGGTGGAAGGAAATAAGCAAGTCAACTTCCTGAGCTACAGCCTTGTTTCTAGGAGGTGAGCTATATCTATGCAGAACTTGCAAATGATTTAGCATTTCTTTCTGCAGAGGTGGTTCAGAATCAATTGGAAAAAAAGATGAACAGGAATGATGTAATAGATAAAATAAAAATTTAGATTACTATTTCTTTTTTTTTAATTACTAGCCATTATTTTCTAGAATTATAAATCCTAAGGGCTTTGGCAGATTCTCTTGGTGAAGACTTATCTCTCCTCACCAGTGATCAGCTTTCTAATTATGAGATACATCTGTCCAGGCAAGTACTCAGAACAAAAATAACTTGATTAAGTTTTGAGAGTTTTTTCTCCCCCCCCCCACCCCCCACCATTCATTTGTCGAATTTACTAATAAAGAGATGGTACCAGGCAAAGGGAAAAATACATGAATTACTAAGCAAAACATGTTTGAGAGACTTACAGCTATAGAATCCTCTGCCTGTAATCATTGAGTCAAATATTTTTATCTAGAGTAATAGTCTTTAGTACTCTTCCTGTGTTTTGTAAGGTGGTTCCCTTTTCAAAGCGTGGCCCTGATTTGTACAGATTAAACAGTATTTGAATTTGCCAGAAAGAGAATGTGAGAAATGGATGTACATAACTTATTTGTTTTTGTTGGTCCTTTTTTTTTTAAATCTCTGACATGGTGTGTCTCTGTGGCAAGTCTTTATCTCTGGTTAACCTCTGTACAGTGACTACTGGAGTAGAGCATGCAAAAGTGGCAGATGAATGACAGAGAAAGTACTTTGAATTAAATCCATTCAGGGAGGTTATTTGTGATCATG